AATTATAAATTTCCAACCTTTAACTTACATAATATTATAACTATATGAGAAAAGTGTATACTAGTCTTAATTCCTAAAATAAATTGAAGTTTTAATTTTAAATTATGTCATTTTATTTAATTAAAATTTAATTCAAAATTTAAAAATTTATCATATTAAATATTGATATTTAAATTTAAAAACTGATTATATTGAAATATACTATCAGTTTCTAATTTAGGTATTAACATTTAATAAGTTGAATTTTTAAATTTAAAATTGAGATTTTGATTTTTAAATGTAAATCAAGACTCTAATTTTTTTTAATCGTAATTAATACGCACTAATATTATATATATTTATTTAAAATATTAGTGTGTATTAGTTTCGTTCGTAAAAAAAAAAAAATTAGAATCTCAACTTATATTTAAAAACTGAAATTTTAATTTAAAATTAAAAAATTCACCCTATTAAATATAAGTGCCTAGATTTGAAAACTGATTATATGTTAATATAATCAGATTTGGCATATAATCAATTTGGCATATAATCAATTTTCAAATCTAGGCATTAATACATATAATCAGTTTCCAAATTTATGCATTAATATTTAAGAGGATGGATTTTTATATTTTAAATTAAATTTTAATTAAATAAAACGATATAATTTAATGTTAAAACTTTAGTTTATTTTGAAAGTTGGAGATTGATATGCACTTTTTCCTTTATTTAATAATATATTAAAATTATAAATTTCCAACCTTTAACTTACATAATATTATAACTATATGAGAAAAGTGTATACTATTTCTAATTCCTAAAATAAATTGAAGTTTTAATTTTAAATTAATTTTATTTACTTTTAATTTTAAAAAGATTTCATTCATTAAAATAGTAATTAATTTAGTTTTTAAAATGTTAAAATCCAAACTAATTCACGCCATAAACACCTCTAGTTTCACCTAGTAAGAAAGTTTGAAATTTATAACATGTTCAAACATTAAAATTAGTAAAGAAGAATTTGGGACAATAGAG